CAGGACCAAAGTTGCCTTAAAAGATACAGCAGCAAGGAAGGTACAGGGTCTGGAGGTATCTAAAATTTGTTGCCATTTTTTTCTTTTTAAGAACAGATCATCTCTCTGTTGACTTTAGCTATTATGTCTTTTAATATCATCTTGTTCTTCTCATTCATTCCACACACACTTACTGGGGTTCACTGTACCTGTGAGGGGTACCATGGGGGTAAACCTCAATGAACAAGAAACATGTTTAAGACATATTTGCTCCTGCCCATGATAACAAGCAACTGCAGTGAGAGTTCTGAGAAAAGGCCCATCCCACAGGTGGAGAGAATCAGGGAAAACTTCCTGTAGGAGACACTGTTAGATCTGGACCTTGAAGGGTGGACGTAGGATTCAAATATACTGCCATGGGAGAGACAGGAAGGATATGGGAAAAAACCAAGAGTTCCAGAGTGTCTGCAGACAGGGCCCAGCCCAGGTCACCATTTTCACCTCCTTGATACTTGCATGGCATTTATCTGAGGCTAAGTGAAACTGTTAAGCGCTCTCTCTCTCTCTGTTGGAACAGTTGGTAAACATCTTAGTGCTTTTTTAAGATCTACTACACTAAAATGTCTCTGTTTGAAACAATTACTGTGCCCACCACACACCTTGAGATAAATTAATCCATGAACACATGCCAGCTCCTAATATCCTTTTAAAAAGCAGACACTGAGGTTGTTGGGTGCTTCTTTACTATAGAAAGGCAAAAAGGCATTCCAGAGAAGCATTTCTGTCAGCCCAGAATTCAAGGAATCATAGCTGCTATTTATAAAATACCTCCTTTGTGTCAGCCACTCTGCATATACCCTCTCTCACCAGCCCTTGCAAAAACGCTGGGGAGTCACCATTGCCATCGCCACTCTGCAGATGCAGAAACAGGCTCAGAGTGGTTACATGATTGTTCAAAGTCTGAACTATCTGGCAGAAGAGGTAGACACAGAACTGTGATCTAGGTCTGACACCAAAGACCACATTATTCTGCTATTTTTTCATGTGTGCTGGACAATGAAGGGCCCTATTCTACACTCTCTTCTGTCCCGAGGTCTCAGTTCCTTTGATCTATAGCTCTGTTTATCCTGGTCATTAGCACTCTGTGGGGCACTCTTCACTCTAACCCCTTGGCTGCCTCTGATCTGGCAGCCCGGTGCGCTCAGCTCTGACCAGGTGGCAAATCCCTAGGACAGCAAATCCTCAAGGGCCTCCTTGCCAGTCAGGGATCGCTACCACTTCTTGTCCCTAGCAAGGCACTGAGGTCCATATATGGAACTGAGTTTCTGCAGGCAGGCAGATTTGCCTGCGGATCCTGGCTCTCCTGCAGTCTGGCCAAGGGCTGTCCAAACACATGGTCTAGGCAGGCGCTCCTTCATCCCCTGAAGAACAGGGCTTAGTGAAAAGGATGTAGGGCAGGGCTTGGGGGGCATGTGGTCCTGGGTTCAACCCCTTGCCCTGCCACATCCTGCCTGTGGGATCTACACAAGTCCTCAAACCTCAGTTTCAATGTCTATGTAGACTCAACACAGTCACATGTATCTTGCAGGGCTTGCTGCAGGCATAAGAAGAGCCTGGCCCATACTAGTGACCAACTGGTAGTTCTTTTCAACTTCTGCCTGCTTCTTAACTGGATCAGGTGTGCCTCATTCACCTTTGTGTCTGCAACAGCCGACACATGGTGGACCACACAGTAGGAGCTCATAAGACAGGATGAATCTTGAACTCCATCCTCCTTCCACCTCAAAAGTCTAGGGCAGGGATTGGCCAACTATGGCCCCAGGACAAATCTAGACTGCTATTTTATTTTTTTTAAATAAAATTTTTATTGAAATATATCCATGCTCCTTTACTTGCACATCGTCTATGGCCGATTTCCTGTTACAACAACAGAGTAGATGCAACAGAGACCATATGTCCACAGAGCCAAAAATATTTACTACTAGAGCTCCTTATGGAACAAGTTTGTGGACCCCTGAGCTTATGCATAGGATCTTTCAGTGCAGGGAGACCCCTTGGGGACCTCTTTGTTTTGGGGAAAAAGAAGTTCCTCTGCTCCTTCCCTACCCACACTTTATAGCCTCTTTCCCTGGTTTATCTATCTTTTTTCCTTCACTCTTACACCATTCCCTAATATCTATGCCACTTTTCTTATACATGTTGTTTATTCTCTATCTCCTCTATTAAAAAGCTTCATGTGGGCAGGGAGTTTCGTTTGTTGTGCTAACACTTACATGCCAGTTAGGGCCAGAGCCCGGCACACAAATGGGAACCCCACATATACCTGCTGATTGAATAAACATGGATGTCACTGAAAAGATTATTCAGCCAAAGCATGTTGGAGGGTTTCTCTTTCATGGAAGATTCTGGGGCTTTTAGAGGGACCCAGTGGCTCTTCAACCCCGGGGGAAGGGTATTACTTTTCCTATTTTATAGATGAGGCAACTGAGACTCTGGCTATGTCAATGCTTCTCAAACTTTCACGTGCAATGCGAGTCGCCTAGGGCTCTTGTTGCAATGCAGGTTCTGATTCAGGAGGTGTGAGCTGGCACCCTCGTGCTGCAGTTCTAACACACTCCAGGTGATGCTGCTGGTCTACGGACCACACCTGGGAGTAGAGAGGGTTGAAGGCACCCACCCAGGGTCCATACCTAAGACTTGGGGGAGTGGAGTTCTGAATCTGGAAATCATGGAGGTCAGCATTTCTCTTGTGTTTCCTTTACTCCATCTCCATGCACCTCTCCATCCTATGGTCTCACAGAAGCCATCGTGCCTCCCCAGTGGGGCTGCTCCCTGTCCCCAGACCTTCTCTTCCATAGCTGCCAGCATCTTCAGGCTCTTCCTTCTGCAAAGGACTTCTCCCCTTGATTCTGAAGGTTCTCCTCATATCTCTCTGTCTGCTTTGCCAGTTCTCCTCTGAATTGTTAACCATGGTCAGTCCCTGAGCTGGCATGAGTTTCATGCTCTAAGATCTCTGACTTAGAACTCCTAAGTTTGCACAACTTAAAGATCCCTGTGTATCACTGCACCTTGAATTACAAGTACTTGAGGTCTGTCCCCTATACTCTCACACTGTGATTTGATTCTATCACAGTGCCTGGTATGAAGTGGGCATCCAAAGACAGGTCTAAGTACCATGGCTAACGGACAGAGGAGGTTGAGGTGCCCAGAGGCTGTGATGGGTCATTGCATGCCCATACCTACTGTGGAACACTGATGCCAGAAGAACCTCTAGAAGATCAGAGGAGCTCCTCGGGGCCACCACTACTGTCCTGACCCCTTATGCTTTCTGAAGGGGTAAAGAAAGAAAACTAACATTTTGTGAGAGCCAACTGTGTGCTAGGCATGTTACAAGATCCCTCATTCCCTGAGTTAGGCACTATGACCCCTATTTCGGAGTTAGGAGAAATAAGGCTCAAGGAGTTCAGAACATTTTCTCAAGGTTTCATAATGTGAGTGACAAAGATGTGACTTGAACCCAGAGCTTCATGACTCCTAAAGCTCATTCTCTTTCTACCACAGCAACAACACCCCACATTGTTTTAACCTCTATGCCTTTGCAGATGCTGTTCCCTCTGCTTAGAATTCTTATTTCTTCAGTAATAAATCCATCTCTATAAACGCTGGTAACTATCCCTTGCCCCATTAAAAAATTAGTCATCCAAGTAAGCGCTCCTATATCAGAGTACATATAGGCACCTCTCAGCTGACATTTCAAGTATTTGGTTTTATCCTAGACCCCAGAGAGGCTTGAACACTAGGAGGGTGGGGCTCAAAGTCCTGGACATCTTTCCATCCACAGTGTCTGGAACATAATGAGCATGTTCAATGCATGTTTGTCAAATGAATGAATGAATGAGAAAATAAAGCGAGTTCTCTGATACTTTTAGTGTTGGTGGTAGGAGTCCATTGGTTCCTATATAACATGATGGCAGTGGTACCAGAATCTTATCTGCTCGTTGCCTGGCCTATTGACCTGCGACCCAAACACTGAGCAGAGGGGATGGGAGAGCTTTTTGTTGGTCAATTCTCATCAGTAAAGTCTTCAGCTGATGATCACTAGCAAACATGGCCTCCCTCATAAGGCTGGGTGTGCCAGGAATGGAACAAGACATGGAATGATGGACAATACACTTTACCAGAAGCCAGGCATCCTGAGTTTTAATCCCACTGGATGTGTGATTTCACACACTTCTCTGGACCACAATTTTCAAACACTGGAAATGCATATTAGGGATATGGGACTACTTCAGTGGTTTTCTTAACTTTTCATTACCAAGGCTCTGTTTATGGAGTGTTTCCCCCTTTACCTTTGTGTTTTCAAACTTTCTGGTTTAATAATGAGAAGAATCATCACCTTTATTTAGAAAGTGCAAAAAAATTGAAAGGCAACAACCAGCTATAACTACCAACAAAATGCACTGGTAACATGAGATAACTAATGCCAAACCCCGGACTGCAATCATTCCATCCCAAAGCAAAGACCCTGGATGTTTCTGTCCCCTACGAAGCTGGTTCTAGGTAAAGCCATGGTTCCCTGTAGACTTACTGAAATAGTGGAAACAGCCAATGAGTTTCTTTCTAAACTTTGAGCCCCTCGAGGCTACATATTCCCCAAGTAGATGCCAATGGGCTCTGAAGTTGCTGAGATTGGTGATTCTGTTTTATCTCTGCAAGTCCTGCAGGAGTATTAGGTTGACCTCTTGCTGAAATTCAGGGATTTCTAACTAGAAAATTATACTGCCTTTACATCTCCAAAAATCGGGGGGAAAATCCAAGATGGCAGAAACATAACAGACATAAACCATGACAGTGCATTTTCAAATGGAAAACATCTATGTTAAATAAAAACTTTGGGGCTACAGATAACTTAGACAGAAGTGAGTATGAGAAAACCAACAGACACTTGGTTGGTGCAGGAAATGCATGCTACAGGTTCCCTTACAGGGCACGAAGCAAAGTTTCCCCGGGTCGATACTTACAAGTAATAGGAGTAGGAATAAGCATTTCTTCTATATATTGATGGGCAGTCAGATGAAGGAAATGTCCAAAAAGGGGGAAAAAGAAAAGACAAACAAGAATTAGATTTATATGAAATCTTGATTCTTAGAAATGCACATAGTATTTCAGCATCCCAAAGCTCAAGGAGATGCAAGTTTCTCTAATCATCTTCGCTGAGAATCAGATACTTTCGGTGGTAGAAGGAGAGAGATAGACCTCTCTTAATGGTGGAGAAATTCATTACTCATGCAGAAAAAGCCATGTCTAATGTTGGCTGTTTTAGTTGTTTGAAAGTTCTCTTCGTATGGTCAACTAAAACTAGCTTCCTTGTAATTATGACTTTTTTGGTCCTGGGTCAGACTTTTCTGGCCTTCTAGAACTATTCTACCACTCTTCCACATGATTGTGCTCTTATGACCTAAGGAAAACCATAATGACTTCTATGTTCTCTGTTTCAGGTCAAACCACATCAGAACCTTTTTAGTAAGGTCATCAGAACCTATTTAGTAAGGTCATGCCAAAAGCAAGGTAATCAGATAGCTAGCATTCAAGATGGCTACCCAACAATCCACACTCTCCATACGCATGCTCATGTGTACTGCCTTCCCACACTGAACCAGGACTGGCCCTATGTGACCAACAGGATGTGGTAGGAATTACATTCTGGGACTTTCTAGGATAGGTCAGAAAGAAGACTTGGAGCTCTGTCTGGGTCTTCAGAACTCTCAGTTGGAACCCTGACTCTCCACGTAAGAAATCCAAGTATCCTGAGGTTGCCGTCCTGAAAAGACCAAGTGGAGAGATGCTAAAATTGCATGAAGAGAGACATCCAGCCAGCCCCTGCCAGTTGGATTATGTCAACAGAGACCCTTGGTATCATGGAACAAAACAAGTCATTCCCTTCAATCCCTGACCGATGCACAGATATATTTTATATTATAAATAAGTCACTAAATTTCAGGTTTGTTACATATCAATCATCAGAACAAAATTCAAACTTTATCATTAAGAACACTGCACTAAGAGAAAGGAATTCCAACCTTCAATCTGAATGAACTACAACTTGAATAAATTCTCTGTGCCTTTATTTCCTTATCTGAACCTCACAGGAGTTGAACTAGGTCATTAGTTTTCAAACTGTGTTTGTAGGATCCTGTGGGTTCTGTACAGTAGCCTCACTGAAATGGGAGAGAGGGAAACTAAGCAGGTAGGACTGCTGGTCCCCCACCATCCACAAAAGCCAGTACTTCTCTATTTTTTTTTCTATTTTATAAACTGAAGTTGCATTTAAAATTTCACATGACTAAGAATTCCACTCTCCAAAATGAAAAATCACTACCTGAAATCTCTTTCCAAGATGTTCCTTCTAGCTCTTGGCTTCTGAACAATAAAAAATGCAAATAAGTCCATGATATTCCTTTTGTTATAACTTTTTATATTTTGTAGGAAAATAAATAGGAATGCTTTTATCTTACAGACTTAGCCACACTGACAATAACTGATACATTTGTGGATTGAGAAAAATTGCTGATAATTAAGGTCCCCAAATATCCATCTGAATAGGCAAGAATAGTTCCCTTCCCTCTAGAGTTATTTGGTTAATTGCAACTGTTATCCCAGTTGCTTGGCTCAGGAATATGCAGTCTTTATATCTGTAGTGTGGGAACATGTCCTCAGAGCTTCAAATTTCTCCCTCTTGAGTAGGAAAGTAGCCAAAGTCCCCTAGGCAGGGCCACCTCTAGGCTTTCTCTTATTCATCAGGAGAGCCCAACTCTAGCTCCAGAAGGAAAGTGATTCTGAGAGCTAAGAAGTTATGGCAGAAAGGAAGCCCCATGTATACTTGGGAAGCTGAGCCAGGGAAAATGAGCCACAGTGCAGAAAGATCTGGTCACTCATAAAACCATTCAACACCTTGGGTCAAAGGAAGAGCAGCCCTAGGTGATGGAAGCGGTGAGGAATGCCCTGCTCTAATGGGTGGGAGTTGGAAGACCCCATGCAAGTCACCATATCCCCCTTGCCAACCATACAGGTTCACAATGTAAGGAAACCATTCCTCACCTTCATGGCTGGCTCTGTGGTCCTGTGCCTAGAAATGTGATTCCTTGGGGAAGAAAGCTAGAGTTCCATTTTATGAAGACTTCTCCATATTGTCAAGAACAGTAGCTGAGATTTGAGAGGGCAGGGTTCTGATCTCAGCTCTTTCACTTGCTCACTGTTACATCCTGGGCAAGTCAGTTCCTCCCTCCAGACCGCTGTTTCCTGATCCACGTACCAAGGTGAATGGCATGGATGACTGCCAGCCTAAACAGCTTTGAGAAGTGGAAATATGTCTTTGTGTCCCAGCACCACCACTTGCTAACTGCATGGTTTTGAATAAATCACTGAGTATCTCTGAGTCTCAGTCTCTCCACGTCAAGGTTGGGGGCAATAATTGTCTATCCCCAAGAGTCTTTGTGGGCATTAACATTAATCTAAGTTGTATTCAAATTGTATGTGATATATAATAAAGTATATTAAGTAAATCATATTAATCCAAATTGATATTAGACTATATTAATCTAAACACCTGACATTAGTAGTCCTCAACAAAGGGGAGTTCATGTCCCTGCCTCATCTACAGATATAAGGTTTACTGCTTCTCACTCTGGTGACCAGGAACAAAGTGTTCATCTCTATAGGAATGTTAAAAATCATAATAAAATAAGAAAAGATACTTATGGAGCACTTACTATGTATCAGACATTGTCCTAGGCTCTCATACGTTAACTCATGTATTCCTCACAACCACCCTGACAGATGGGTATTATTATCATCCCCACTTCACAGAGGAAGAAATTGAGGCAAAGAAGCTTTATGTAATTTGCCTAAGATCAAGCAGCTAGTAACCAGATTTGATAGCAACATGGCTGCAAAGTTTGTGTTCTGGACCACTAGCCTGTGCTGTCCATGAAGAGGTAAGAAAGCAGATGTATGTTGAGCAACACAGTGGGTCTGGCACTGAGATGAGACACGCTTTAAATCTTTTAATCCTCCCTACCACCCCATGGAGCAAGCATTATTCTTCTCATTTTTGGTTGAGGAATCTGAGGCTCTAAGAGGTCACTAGGTCTATTGCCTTGTGTAGTTTGGAACCACCAGCTGCAAGGCCTCCATCCTGAGCCAGATGTCCTCGCCATCAACAACCCCTGGCTGCACTCAGTATTCTGTACCTTCTGGCTTTTCTGCCTTCACCCTTCAGGATTCACCTCTGCCGGGCAACCTCCTCATGACAACATACTTCCTTACTTTCAAACCACCTCTTCCAAGTAGCTTTTCTGAGTTATCCTGGTTGTCACCAAAAGCCAGGTGCTATCCTGACCCAGCTTCAAGTCAACTCCAGAAGAACAGCAACTGGCAGGCTTCTATTAATTGAGTAGCTTTTCCCAATTATATTGCAAAGTGTTCCAAGGCAAGGATTACAGTTCTTTACTGTGTGGCCACAACACAGTATACATGTGTGTTTTCTCTCAGGCTTGAAGAAGATTTCCTGAAGGTCTAAATTTACAAGGATACAGTGATGTTGCAAGTAACAGATTGCCTGAGACCAAATATCTTGAGCAGGAAGACAGCTGTGCTTAGAAAAAAACAAAAAAACTCCAAACTTAATAAATCACATACTACAGAATCTTCTTTTCAGCTGGCTAACAAGGCTGACTCAAGGTACAGCTTTCCTTTGTTCCATACTACTTAAACAGGACTAAGTTATCTATTTAACCATCTGTTTGACCATCTACCCATCCAACTAGTTCATAAACCCACCCATCCACTTTTCTATCCATCCATGCATGCATCCAACCATCCATCCCTCCATCCATCTAACCAACCATCCACCTATCCACTTAGCAATGTATCCACCCACTACTTCATCTAGCCTATAAACCCACACACTCATCTACCCTTTCATCTGACAATCCATCCATCATCCACTCATCCATCTTTCCATCATCAATTCAGCAAACGTTTCTTAAGAGCCTACTACATGCCTGTCCCTGCAGGTTCCAGAGATAGAAAAACAAATGAGATCTTGATCCAGCCCAAATGTCTGATCAGAGAGGCCGATAAGAAACTTGTAAAACAAAGAGTAATAAGAGTTACCACTTAAACAGCAGGAGGTCGGGGAGCGGAGCAAGATGGCGGAGGAGTAGGAGACCTGGATTTCGTCTGGTTCCAGGAATTCAGCTGGAAAGGGATCAAACCATTCTCAACACCTACGAACTCAACAGGAGATTGAAGAAAGGAATAGCAACAACTCTCTGAACAGAAAAGCGACCACTTTCTGGAAGGTAGGACGTGCGGAGAAGTGAATCCGAGGCGATATTCCAGAGGACAGACAGCGGGGGAGGGGACCTCCGTCAGCCGCTTCTGGAAAGTGATAGAGCCGCGGAGCACAAAATCGGAACTTTTAGAAGTCAGCTCCGCTGAGGGACGTCACTCTGGTGGCTAAGCGGGGGGTGGAAGCCTTCCGGGACAGTGTGGTCTCAGGACCCTCAGGGTCACAGAAAGACCAGGGGTGCCTGAGTGCGGCAGAGCTCCCAGGGATCAGAGCGGGGAAGCCGGCTGCAGAGACGGAGCCGAGGCATGGGCTCTCAGCTCGGGGTTGCCACAAACTGTGATCGGCGACACAGTCGGGCCACTGCTCCTCCAGCAGGGACCCAACAAGCGGCAGATGCGGGGAGACTCCCCTTCCTCCCCCAGGAGGAGCGGCGAGGGAGCGCACCGCAGGGATCTGCTGGGTTTGGAGACTCCACACAGGGTCGGGTGCCAGAGATAGAAACGCTCGGTCACAGGCCGGGTGAGCAGGGAGTGTGGCCGGAGACTGGGGACACGGGAGTGACTGCTTTTCTCTGGGGGCGAACTGAGGAGCGGGGCCCCGAGTTCTCGGCTCCTCCCAGGCAGAGATTGGGAGGCTGTCATTTTCACTCTGGTCCTCCAAAGCTGTACAGAAAGCTTGCAGGGAACAAAAGCTCCTGAG